CAGCGGAAACGCATCGTCCTCTTTTCTGCCCATGATCACTGCAATATGATGTGAAAACCAAAAAAAAAAACTTTACTTTCGCTGCAAATGCTTACATTCATTGAGCTTAGGTGTAAACTCGCGCCCAAATTTCCGTAACATTGTTTGATTGGCTAATGTGTAACATCTTTCCGTATCAACAAGAAGTCCATCAAAATCGAAGATACAATGAGTGATGGACGCTCTGAAAACTACGCTTGGCAGAACCCTTCTTGTAATTTTAATGGCTCAGAATCGGCACTCGAACGACTACTCCAGAAGATTGAAAATACAGTTTCATCATTTTATCTAAGTATGAGATAAAAGTTGGGAAATGATTAGCTAAAGCAATAAATTAGATTTCTCGTGAAGGCTTGTTTGTGAGAGATCCACACTAACTTTTGAGACAACAATCTCGCCTGCAGTGGCGTGAGTCCATTCCTAGAAGAAAGCAAAGTCCTTGTGAAGTAAAGCAGCCGGATACCAGAGGTCAAGGTCATGTTCAAACCTCAAAAATTCGTTTGATAAACTTGTTATAACCACTGAGGGGATATATCAAAATAGATTTCAACCGACGTTGCAAACTCAATATCGTGCTTTAAAAAAACTTAGGTGAAACTTGTATGGAGTTACTAGTCACGCATGATAAGGAACAAAAGATAATATGAGATAGTATTGCACAAGAAACTGATCCTACTTCTTCTAATCACAGAGAAATTCCGTGTACCTTCAGTTAAAAGGCTTCAGTAGAGACTACATGCTTCCGCAGATACTTCATCATTCACAAAGGCAGATCCTAACTGCATATTAGGATTATTATGTAATAAAAAAATGTTTATTTCTGATTTGAAAAAAAATACAATCAAACAAATGACATATACCCGTCCACACAACAATAAGATGCATAAGTGTGTAACTTCAACAGGAACATATAATACAGAATACAGTAGCAGATCGCGATCAGAAGAGGTGAGTAAAAAATCATACTTTCCATTTCCTACTTATCTAGAATAACGTCTGTTTCTTGTTTCTCAAATAAATATAGTAAATTATTAGCGTACAGAAATATGGAACTTTCAAAATGTTTCTCTAATTGGAAATATTATAACATTAAAATAACAGATATAGAAGAATGGACAAAGATCCTATGTATCGGTAGCAAAAAATGGGGAGAAGTTGAGTAGTACCTTGAATCATCGTTCAGCAGAATCCGGCGAACCTCCTCCACGACGAGATCGCCTCTTCGAAGAATTCGAAACTGCAGCGGCATTTGCCTCTT